GAACTCATGCGGAAGCAGCTTTGGATTCTCAGTGCTGTGCTTTAACCCACTGTGCCACCAGGGAGGGCCCAGTTACAGCTTTTTCTATTTCCCCCAGAACATTGTTCCTTCTGTGTGTTATAGTTGTTTGTTTAAGGGATTACTGACTGTGTATGCTGCAAGTTAGATATGACTATGTGGAGAAGGAAGATCTGGTGTCTTGACTTTGCTTCCATTTTGCCACACTCCTATTGTTTTTTTAATACCTTGTCTTTAATGTACCTATTTTTGTGTGCATTTTTATTATGTTTATTTACTGAGCTTCTTGAATCTGTAGGTTGATATATTATAAAATTTGTTAGCTTTCTGCCCTTACTATATATTGCTTCTGATCATTTTCTCTTTTGTTCTGGACTCTTCTACATACATATTATACTGTTTGACTCCATCCCACACCTAGTATGTTTTATTTGGCTCATAATTTCTTTCTTTGCTTTGAATAGCTGTTAATATGCCTTTGTACTAATTCTGGTTCTTTTGTATTCTTACTGTGTTATTAAAGTCATATAGTGAGTTTCTACATATCATATATCCTATTTTGTAGTTCTAGAATTTCTACAAAGCACCTGTATAGATTTTAATTCTCCTTGTTTTTATATTTTTATCCATTTTATCTAATCTTCCTCAACTATCTTTTATATAAGTTAGTCATACTTATTTTGAAGCCCTCACATGCTAACACCAGTGTGTAGATCATTGCTAAGTCTGTTTTTGGTTACTGTTTGTCTCTTGATTCTCAGTTTTCCCTGTCTCACATATCTACCAATTTGCATTGTATGTTGTGTATTGTGAATATAAAGTAGAGCAGTGGACAGCAAACTATGGTTCATGGGACAAATTCAGTCTAGTAGCTACATTTTTGTTACTCAATGAGCTAAGAATGTTTCCGATACATATATTTTTAAATAGAAACTTTTTTTCAAGATTTATTTATTGATGCATACAGAACTGAGGTACAGCCCAGAGGTGTGGTGGGTGAGAGGATTCACCAGTGACAGAGTGGGGAGCAGAGTGGGGAGCAGATTATCGAGGTATACTGCTGAGGGGAGCAGCGGGTGGGTCAGGAGAGGTCTGCTGCACCATGTGGGTCACCTCTGCAGTGGGGATCGAACTCATGCTGAAGTGGCTGTAGCTTCTTAGTGCTGTGCTTTAACCCACTGCGCCAGCAGGGAGGGCCCTGTTTCTGATCTTTTTAATGTATTTTTCTTTTAAGAAACTGTGTAACAGGTACCATTTATAGTCCTGAAAGTCTAAACATGTTTCTTTCTGGCTCTTTACATGGAAGCTTTGCTGACCCATATTGTAGAGCATCTCAGTTGTTATCTTCCTTTAAATGGTATTGAATTTATTCTGGTAGGCAGTTCAGTCACCAGTGGATCACTTCTGTCTTATGGGGGCTTTGTTTAAGGCTTTGCTAAGATAGGTTTGTTTCACATTTTTCTCATTCCTGGGGGATAAATTGTATAGGCTGTCAACTAAATAAATGGCATCTTTCATTGATATTTACAGCAGGAGGGTATTCCTATATTAGGTGTTCCATCACAACAAAAACTGAAAATTCTGATTGTTTTCAAATATAAAATTATCTTAATATGTAATGGATTTTAAGATCTTCTCTCTTAACAATGTTAAATATACAGTACAGTATTATAAATTATAGCCACTATGCTGTACCTTAAATCTTCACAACTTATTTTA